AGAGAGAGAGAGAGAGAGAGAGAGAGAGAGAGAGAGAGAGAGAGAGAGAGAGAGAAAGAGAGTAGTTGTGTTGCTCTAGCTACGTATGCTTTTGTCCGTGGTGACAGGCTAGCTTGTTGTCTTTTGCCTTGCTGTTCATGGCAAAGGAGGAGCTATGTCCTCAATAGTCAGTGATTCGGCAACAATCCTGTGTGGCATTCACCGAGGATGGGGTGTAATGTGATCACGTGCTCCTTCCGCATAGATTTCTCCTTTTCCTCCTGTCATTGACCAATTCGCTGTTGGTCTTTGTAGGAACGACTTTTCGGTATCTGTTTGTCAATTTTGAAATTTGAATGATACAAGTGAGCATGAATCCAGGGCAGCGATGGCGCCAATTGTTGATCTTCTCTTTTCATCCCCCAGAACTCGCCGACTGGGCTCTGGCTGTGTGGCTGCTGTCTGCTGCACTGCTGCCCATATGGCTGTGTGGGATCGACTTGTTCTCTCACTGCCTCTGTGCTTAGTTCGCCAGATGAAGGCAAGCGGACATCCACCAATGGCTGTGAACTAGATGTAACGAGCTATCTACGTAACACCCTACCCTCCAAGATGAGCACACAATATTGAACTCCCAATCGACATGACAAGCATTGACAGGCTATCCATTGGAACAGACCGGTGGTGCCATAGTCATGGAAGTGTGAGCTTCCGTCAACAGGATGAGGTTAGGGCTGTGCCAAACTGTTTCACTGGAATTCCTGTGAATTGACCCATCAGGAGGTTGGACATTCGTTAATCAGTGTTGAATGGCAGGTCCAGTGTTGAGAGGCAGGTCCACAGACTCCACATCACAAGGGCCAAAAGCTGATGGTTCAACATAATGAAGCTACCTGTGTCAACATTGCCAAGCAATCTTGCGGGACATCCGATTGTTGGCCCATCAGGACGTTGGATATTGGCAATCTATGTTCAGCCTCACAAGGGCCAAAAGCTGATGGTTCAACATAATGAAGCTACCTGTGTCAACATTGCCAAGCAATCTTGCGGGACTTCCGATTGTTGGCCCATCAGGACGTTGATATTGGCAATCTATGTTCAGCCTTACTGAGAGAAGCCTGCGATTAAACAGTTTGAAGTAGTTGCTGCACAGTTCCTCTGTTGTGGACCTTGACAATCTGAACTGGGCCCAAATATTGAAGACAGTGAAAGAGCAGCACTTGTGTGCATTGTTCGACAATGATCGTGGAATGAACCTTGCATATCTGGTTGTGAACTGACCGACTCATGCATGTTCATGTGCCTGCAAGCTCTCACTAAGGCGAGATCATACTCAAACATGTCTGTAGGAATCACAAGGCTCAGCCATACTCAAATGTGTTTGGAGGATAAGTGTAAGAAGAGAAGGCAAATTTCACACAAGATAGATACTAAACCACCAGTACCCCACCCCACTACTTGCGAGAATGTTCCGGTCAACATAGGGATGCAATCAGGTCGGGAAGCTTCATGGAGGGGATACAAAACTTTGAAAGTCCCCACTTCGGTGATGTTTTGCCTTCATCTCCTTCAACCAAAAAATCTGGGAAAAAATCATCGATGCAGGGTATGTGGCAACATGTTCCTTTTTTTCCTTTCTCTATACTCTTTATAAAGAGAAGAGTGGGTCTCGTGTGACGCTGCCGCGAGCCCGGGCTCCCTGTGTTGGGAAATCTATATCTATCTATACTCTTTTATAAAGGGAAGAGCGGGTCTCGCGTGACGTTGCCGCGAGCCCGGGCTCCCTGTGTTGGGAAAATGGCTGGGGACAAGGCGCGGGCCCAAGGGAAACCCGCAGAAATCGCACGTTTTTTTCCCCCCTTCCATAAGCGTGAGTTCAAAGGCTGTTTGAGTTCAAAGGCTGGCCTGCTGCAGAGGAGGCGCTTCGGGGTGACGGGGCGCCATGTTTTTTTTTTTGCGCGCTTGCACCAGTTCAAGGGCTGGCGACTGAGATAGTCAGCTGGATCCTCCCAGTCGGTATCAGTAAGGTCTTCAGCCAACACCGGTGTGAGTGCGTGTGTGAGTGGGTTGCGTCGGTATCAGTAAGGTCTTAACCAACACCGGTGTGAGTGCGTGGGTGAGTGGGTTGCGTGTGGTGTGTGGGAGAGTGTTGGCCTTAGACACTACTTTTACCCCATGGGGTGGGGGAAAATGAAAAAGGGGAGGCACAGTTGCTGGCAAATGCTCGGTCCTTGTGTTAGCCGGGTCCCCACCGACGGCCCCAACCCTGCACCCTAAAC